GGCCGCCTCCGATACCGGGCCGCCAGTGCCCCGCGAGCCCCCCGCCCGGCGGCACCATGCCGCGTTCCTTCCTGGTGAAGAAGATCAAAGCGGATGGCTTCCAGTGCAGCGGGGTGCCAGCCCCCACCTACCACCCCCTGGAGACTGCCTACGTGCTGCCCGGCGCCCGCGGGCCTCCGGGGGACAACGGTGAGTGGGCCCTAGGGGAGGGGAGCGGGGGCTCCCCAACTTGGGCCGTAGAAGGGAACCCCAGAGAAGATGTCCCTGGCCGAGTGCGCCCCCGGGACTTCCTGAGGGCCTGCCGGGCGGGGCTGGGGCTAGGTCGTACAAAGGAAAGTGGCAGGGGCGGCTCATCTCGCAGCCACGCGCCAGCCGGGACTTTAAAAGTTGTGGCCCTAGAATACGGCTGGAGTGAGGGGCTGACAGAGAGAGGATGCCCCTAAAAAGCTAGTGGGAGCGGCTTGGAGTACCCTGTCACTGTTGAAGAAGAGAGACTGGCAGCCTGTGTGATCCTTGATGGGGGCCAAGACTGCCAATCCCTGGGGAGATGAGATTGGCTCTCTGGGGAAAGTGGGAGCATCCCGCCTCCCTTCAACCATACTCCCCTTGGCAATGCCAGACAAGTGCTCTCCAGCCCTCCTCTATCCAACTCTTTTGTTACCCTCTGCCACATGCCTGCCAAAGGCTGGGCCTGTCCTAGGGACTCAAAGAATAAGGTATTGGAAGGAGTTCCCCCACCGTGTCTCCTGGTCCACTGGACTGCACTCCTCTCTGGCTTCTTACCCCCACAACCAAACCTGCTGCTCCTCTGAAACCCTCCCATCCGGCTCCAACCCCACCCCCATTTCTTCTTGGAGCAAGTTCTTGTAAAGGAGAAGGACTTGGGGGACAAGAGAGGTCATTCAAGCCCTAAAGGGGTGACATTCAGATGGCAAGAGAAGGGTGATTCTGTGAACCTATTTCTCACCAAAGGGGGCGATTGTGATGGCTAACACTCAACAGCCCCACCAGGACAGGTGTCTGGGAAGGAGGAGTCACGTTGGTATTGAGACAGCTGACATCACAGGGGTGGGAGAAGAAGAGAGAAGAGCAGGCACTGAAGAATGAGTCTGAACTGGGGACTGGAGTGGCAGGCAGGAACCTGGAAGGCAGGGGGCATCTCCTAGGGGACTTCCGAGCACTCAGCCCATGCCAGCACTCTGCCAAGCCAGATAAAGAGAAGGTGCTGAGCAAAGAGTTCTGTGACCTCATCAAGGTCACAGAGTTAGGCAGTGATGGGGTGCTTCTTTGAGCCCCTCGGCCCCGGCTCTACTCAGCCACCCACAGAACCCTCACCCCTTTGCCCACAGCTCCCACTCTGCTGTCCTCTTTCCTTGACCTCCAGGACCTTGGGGTGGAAGGCTCAGGGAGATGTCTGGGCTGAGGGCTGGCAAGACAGAGGGTGGACCTGGGGTTGTGCCAAGGCTGGGAAACATGTGCTGAGAGCTGGTAGGATATGAAGTCTCCATTGGATCCCTTAGGAGACTGACATAAAACTGCCGAGGCCCCCTTGATCCTGTCCCTGGGCCAGCTGAGAAAACCCAAAGAATTTCACAGCCAAACTGCAGGCTGTTCCTCAGGAGGGAGGCAAGAAATGCCTTGCCTTGAATTTGGTGCAAACAGGCTTTGGAAAGGGCCCCTGCATGAAGGATGGGGAGGGCAGATGGAGTGTCTTTATGAAGGTCTTACCAGGTTCCGCAGCCTAGAACCACCCCTGCCTTTGTCCCTTTCCTAAAGGGATCAACTCCCTGACCTCCGGGAAAGCCTGGAGCTGCTCTAACCACATGCCTGGCTTGAGACTCAATAGAGTGAGTAGCTCTGGATCTGTGACTTGCACTATGACCTTGGGTAAGTGCCTTCCCTTCTCCAGTCCTCAGCCTCCCCAGCAGTGCAAGAGCTCAGATGTCATGAACTAAGCATCCTTCCAACTTTGACAAGCTCAATTTCTGTGGAAGGTTAACTGATGTGGGAGACACAGGATAAGGGAATGCTGGAAGCCGCTGTCTCAGTTTCCTTGGGACTCTTCACCCACTATGTCTGAGTGGAAGTTTTCCCAGATTTGGTCTCTGCCAGCTGCCTCGTGGTAGAATAGGGCACCCATCTTGCCCTGCCTTCTGTGAGTGGTCAGTGTGGAAATCAGTAAGGATGACCCATCTAGCCTTTCAACTAGAAAACATGGGGTCTGTCCTATCTTGTTTTTCAAGGGCCTCTTCCCTAATGGGGTGTGGCCAGGCTGGGCAATGAGGGCTCCCTGAGTGGGTAAGTGTTCTGAGGGTCCTCAGAGAGCCTACTGGCTCCTGGTGGCCCGTTGTCTCTCCGCTCTGCCGGAAATAACCTTGCTGAGCGTTTGAGGGAAGTGTGAAAAATTGCTGAGCTGACGATTTTCCCCTTCTCTCCCAGCGTGTGTAAGTGTGCTGGGTAAACAAGGAGAAAAGAAAGGAGGGGGAAGATGAGGAGAACGAGGGAGGGGTAGAGGGAGAAGGAGGAGGGAGGGCCCGGGGCTGGAGGTAGTTCAGTTATTAGAAAGATCCTCTTACAAGCCATTTCTGCAGCTTGTGCTGCAGGGTTGGGATGAGGCTGGGGGTGAGGAGCATGGGGGGAGGGAATTGTGAATGTAGACGTCAGAGGAATAGGCTTCCTCATAGAGGCATAGGAACCCCAAGTGAGGTGGACCCCCATCTCTGGGAGTGCCTAAGAATTCTAGAGAATTCCTGGAGAGCCCCACACACATCACACACATGCAGATTCTCCCCTCAACCCTGCACCCGCTTCTACTCTCTTTTTAGCCTCTAAAGGTAAACCTCTTGTGTGCATGGTTCGAGACCAACTCCAGGCCTACAGAACCTCAAATAGAGAAGGGACACCCCCTCCAAGTTGGAAGAACTCAGGAGAGAGTATTCAGGAGCTCCTAGAAAAGACAAGGTCCCAATTCCCTCAGATTTCAACAAGATGCGGCTTCCCCTTGGTCCCTATGTCCCCTCTACAGTTGGTTGCCTCCAGGGAGCCTTCTCTGTTCTCTGTTCCCAGGATGGCTCTGAGCATAGATTTATTTCTCTGGGAAGTGCTCACTCATATTTTCCTTCCCCCCCCCACAAAACCTAGCCCTCCAACTCTACCAAGCCCAGCCTCCTAGCCCCAGAGCCCATTGCTCTGTGCTGGGACTCTGCAGTTCTGAGAAGGCAGCTGCTTACTGCCTTCGTATCACTGGTCTCTGTGGACCCCTACCAAGGACATCTCCAGTGTCCACTCACACTTGTCTCTGACCTCCAGCTGGGAGCCAGGGCCCCTCCCTCTAGTCTACCCCAGCCCTGTCCTACCCACACCCTTTCAGAGTGCACCCTCCCTGGCAGACAGGGATCAATGCCGATCCAATAACACAGTTGTCTGCCCTCTGCAGCTACATTAAGCCTCCCCCAGCAGGCTGAAGAGCGCTTGTATTCTACCCATGGGCTTATCTAGCTGACCACATTATACCGGCTTCCACTTCCTTTCACTGCCACTGATGGCGCCGAGTAGTCGCTCCAGAGCTGGGCTCAGGAGCCCAGCTAAATAGACCCATCCTTCCCATACCTCAAAAAGTCCATCTGGGGATGCAGAGGGCTATCCCAATACCTCAGCAGAGGGAACCCAGAGAAGGCTGGGTAAGTGCCCAAGGACACACAGCAGGCCCATGTGTTTATAACCACATGGCTTGGCATATTGATCTTGGTCTGGAGTTGAGGTCCAGATTAAAGATATGTACATGTCCAGGTCCAATGTTTATATCCAATTTCAGGTTGAGGACTAGGTCCAAGGTGAGTGTTTAAGGTTATAGGACCAGGTCTGGTATCCAGAACCCATTCAGTGTCTAGACACTGTTCCAGCTCAAGATTCTGGGTCCAGGACTGAGGTCTAGGTCCAATTTCCACTCCAAGGTCATCCCAGATCATCTCAAGATTGACTGGGATAGAATTTTGGGGATAGATTTAGCTTATCTTCCTCAGCCTCCGTTTCTCTCTCATGAAAGAGTAGTTGAGCATGACCTAGTTCAGCTCTGACAAGGGGACTCAAGAGTCTGATTTCCTCTATGAATTATCAGGGCTCAGTGGGAGTGTGGAATATGGGACCTGGGTGCCATAGGAAGCTGGGAGCTGGCAGTGATTCCTGAGAGAGGGCAGGGGAATACTCAAGGTCATTATGTCAGTCACAGTACACAGCCCAAAGTCTCTGGGGCCACACACATGTGCATAATACTCTGCTAAGAGAGGACAGCTTGGGAGAATTGCTGCAATCTACAGCTCAAAAAAGGCTGGGAGGGTGCCTGGAATCGCAAGAGCATGGATGGCAGGGCCTGTCATCCATCCATCCATATTGGGTGCACTAGGGCCCATAGCCTGGGGGCCTTATTAGGGGTAGGCTGAGATGCTACTGAAAGAGCTGGAGGCCCCAGGCCTCTGAGCCTGCTTTCCCAGTGTTTTCTCCTGGAGTGGGTGTCTACTTCAAGTCTGAGTAAGAGACTTTGGAAGGGGATTTTTTGATTGTACTCTTCTGGGGCAGAGAAAGGGAAGGGCAGAAATCATGAACACTGAGGAGGAGGTAGGCTGTGTGCAGTGTACCTGTGTTCAGGAAACCCACAGCCAGGCAGAAAGAGTGCCTCCCAGAGGGTAGCAGGACATGGTCTCACCATCCAAGGCCCATAACTCCAGACCTGGAGCCACATACACCCATCACCACAGCCCCTTGCAAAGTCCTTCCTAATGATTCCCACAGAGCTGTGGGCCTCCCTGTGAGACACAGGAACTGGGTCACTGTAAGGAAAGCCCAGAACACAGGGAATTTCAGGAGTCACAGTGTGGGGGCAGGGAGCTGGAATTCTCTAGAAAGCCCTTAGGGTCAGTGGGCATCAGCCCCAGGCTCTGCAGCCCTGGTTGTGCTCATCCAGACCCTTCACTTTGCCCTCTGCACCCCTGTGGGCAGATGTACAGATGTACCAGCTGCCAGGCCTTTGGAGAAGGTGGGTGTCCTTCTGGTCCAGTGCCCAGGAAACAGCTAACAAAGATGCTATAATAGGGGGAGGGGGAGGTACCCAGCCCCTTTGCCCAGCTCTGTGAGCAGACAGGAGAAACTATTTTTATCCTGCTTTGCTGCTGACAGACCTGGCTTTCTGCTCAGCTGGCTGGCGCTGATTCTTGAGGCCTGAGGCCCTGGCACAGCAAGAAATAGCTCTAAATATACCCACGCAGCATCCCTGCAGCAGGCCCCCACTGCAGCAGGATGAGCCCTCTCCAGGAACCCAGCAGCCCCCTCTTCTGCCCATCTCAGAACAGGGAGGTGGGCTAGAAATTCCCTGGAGGAAACTTGGCACCCTGGGAGTCTTGGGAGACAACCGGGAGAAGCCCTTTGGGCTGGCTCCATTAAGAAAAGGAGGCCACCAGGCAGGCTCTGATGAGGGCTTGTGTGACCAGGGGAAGGATCAAGGCCCCTCCCCAGGTTCCAGCTTCTGCAGAAAGGTGTGGGAGGGTATGACCTTAGACTTGAGCTAATGTCATTAAGCCTCGGCAAGGGCCTCATATGCAGCAAATGCTCAGTAAGTGTGAGTCACTACTGTTGAGTATCACTTACAAAAAATGAACAGGATGCCGGACCTTTTCCCAGAGTGACAGCTTCTCTCCAGTCCATCACATCAATTTCCCATGAGACACAGGCCAACTGGGGAGGCACTATTGAAAGACACCCCCCTCAGCTGCTTCTCTTCCCTCCCCCACAGGCCTCCAGTCTCTTTCTCCTACACTCTGGAGGAAATACTGGCTATGGATCCTGAAGCCTGACTCCCCATCTAGTGACCTTGGGCGAGTCCTCTGCCCTCACCAGGGTTCTGGCATATGGTAGCACCTGTTCCCAGGGCTGGCTGGTGCTGACTACAAGGCTTTGGACACAGTAGGACTTGTCAGAGTCCTCTCCAGTTCTAGGTTCAGGAAGGAGCATGAGGCAGTGTGCAGGGGCCCTGGCATGTTAACCTTCATAATCTCTCTTCCTTTTTGAAGTGGATGCTGCAGTCTAAAGCAGCAGACTCCTGGGCATTCTCAGGTGGCATGAACCTGAGTCCTCCCCACAATCATGACAGAGGCTCTTCTGGTCTCTGTCCCTGGGATTTCAGCCTCAAGACTCAACTGAGGTCACACAGCTAGAGTGTCTTCCCTTTGTGTCCCACTTAAGCAAGACACAATCGACAGAGACCTTTCTCTGCTTGTCAGCTAGAGGAACAGCCCAACCCCCAGTGGGTTCTAAAAGCCTAATGTACATTTGTAAAGGATCTTCCAGGGTTCAGGCTAAAGAAGAAAGGTGGCTTGCCCAAGGTCACACAGCAGCCTGAATACTAGGTTTCTGGACATTATCAGAAAATACAGGCATAATAACAGCCATGGCTGGAGAGGCCAGATGCTGTGTGCCTGGTGTTGGCTGGAGCACCATACACTCATTAGTTCATCCATTTCCATCAGAAACTCCCATGTGCAGTGGTGGACTGACCCTGAATCACACAGTGGTGAGACATCTGTGGATCTGGAGAGAAGAACGGGGAGTGATAAGGGAGTAAGATGTAGAGACAACAAACAGCATCACCTAGGGATTGAGTCCACCACGACGCAGAAGTGTCTTTCATGCATCCTAGTCAGCCTTCTTCCCGTGCACGATGAACCCAGAGGTTAAGCAACCTGGCTAATGTCCCAAAGCAAGGCCCACCCAATCCTCACAAGACCAAGCAAAGTGTAGTCATATGATGCTAAATCTCATAAACACAGGACATCAGGCTTGGGCCTGTGGAGCTGGTCCTGAAGGCAATCCCATATGTGTCCCTAGACAAACGAGCAGCTGTTGTTTGAGGAACCCCTAGTTCCACAGAGAGAGATCCTTGTCCGGATAAGATGCTGCAGCGCTACAAGTCACCAGCAGAGGGCACCACAGGCAGCACTCGCATCTGAGCCAGGGCTGAGGGAAAGATCCTTGAGCTCTTACTACACACTAGTTTTGTTCATTAGAACATGACAGGGAAATTACACAACCCAAAAGGGGAAACAGAGGCCCAGGGAGAAGCAGCAAGATGCTCCCAGATGGATGCCAAGGAAACCATATCACAGAAATCCAGCTGGGGAGACTCCAGACAGTGAGTGGTGTTAGGGTCAGGCATGGCCCTAGTGCCACTAAACTTCCTTGGGGCTTGGTGTCTGCTTAACCACACTGTTGTGAGGACAGAATGCAGACACGCATGCAAAACCCTTCAAACCGAGCCTAACATCTCAGTGAGAGTGCTTTACTGATGTTGTAAAGACACAGAGGAGTCAAGTATTTTGTCCAAGGTCACACAGCCATAACTGGGAATATAACTCAGTGTCAGAGTGCTTGTCTAGCATGCACAAAGCCCTGGGCTCAATTCCAAAGCAAGGGGCGAGTGTGAGGGGTGGGGAGAAGATTGAGGTATGATCTGACAGACCAAGGTCACTATATTGGTTACTTTTCTATGGCAAAACACCATGAACGAGAAAACTTATAAATGAGTTGATTTGGGCTTACGGCTCCAGAGAGATACAGGTCCGTGATGGCAGAGTGGAGGTATGGTGGCTGGAGTAGGAAACTGAGAACTTGCATTTTCAATGGCAAGCACAAAGCAAGAGCAAACTGGGAATGGCGTGAGGCTTTGAGACTTCAAAGCCTGTCCCTGTGACATAATTCTTCCATCAAGCCACGCCTCCCAAACCTGCCCAAACAGTGCCACCAACTGGGACTGAATGTCAAACATCTAAACCTATGGGAGATGTCTCATTCAAACCACCACAGTCACACAGTTGAGACGGGTAAGGGAGAGCCCCATGCAGGCAGACCGCTTCCAAAGTTATGCTTTTAACCAGTATGCCACCATCCATTAATAAGAGCATAGAAAGTGGTGGTCACTGCCTGGCACAGTGGTGCACACCTTTAATCCCACCACTTGGGAGGCCGAGACAAGTGGGTATCTGTGAGTTCAAGGCCAGTCTGGTCTACATAACGAGTTCCAGGACAGTCAGAGCTACACAGTAAGACCCTGTCTCAAAAACAATAAACAGATAAATGTGATGCCCACATGATCAGACCAAATTACGTGACCACTCCCAACAGATCTCATCTCAGACCTCATTTACAGGGACCCAAGGCATGGAAGGACAGGACTAGCCCAAGGTCACTCTGCTAATACCAATGTTCTGGCATCAAACTGCCCTCTCTTTTCCATAGCTGGGGCCCTGTGAGGTGGGGGCCTATCCCAAGAACAGGTGGACAGGATTGCCGACAGCTGGGCTGCTGGGATGGTAAGCCAAGCCACCTGGTACCTCTCTGACTCCACAGGTACTTACAAGATGCCACTGTCGGTGCCCGGGAGATGGGAGGAGCCCAGTCACTACCTATTCTTGGGGGCTCCCTAGAGTATAGTGACCCAGCAGAGCAATGCAATGGGTTCCACTTTTTTTTTTCCCCCGAGACAGGGTTTCTCTGTGTAGCTTTGGAGCCTGTCCTAGAACTCACTCTGTAGACCAGGCTGGCCTCGAACTCACAGAGCTCTGCCTGCCTCTGCCTCCCAAGTGCTGGGATTAAAGGTGTGCACCACCAACGCCCAGCTGGGTTCCATTCTTTGTTCCATCTTATAAGCAGGTTCCACCACTCTGTACCTCAGTTTCTTTATCTGTCGGAAGATATCTTTGTAAGAACTCAGAAGTGGCAGCAGAGCTCTTAGGACACAGCATGGTACTCAGAAAGTGCTCAGCCAAAAGCTCAGTAGCTACACCATGTGAGGAGGCTGAAGGAGGAGAGGCTCTGGGAGTACTCATCAAATAAACAACCCAGCCCTTGTCAAAAGTAACAGACCAGCTCCTGGCATGGGTAATCCTGGCCTTACAGACTGAAAGCAGATGGGAGGGGAGATGAGTGGTTCCAATCGATCACCCCTACCTCTTGAATTAAAAGAAGTCACCAACACTGTCCCCCTTGCTTCTGACCACCCTGATTCCCCAGTTCTGTGTGCAGAGGGTCCTGTGCAAGCCACACAGGACAGAGAAAAACAGACACAGACTAGCAGTGTTGAGGGATAGCTTATCCAATTTTCAACCTGGGACCACCTCGAATTCCAGAAAAGGCAGAAACCTGGAGGATGGTCAGCCAGACCCTTTAAGGGAAAAGAAGCTGGCCAAAGTGCCCAGCCTGCCAGACATTGCTGGAATCGTGCTTACAAAGGCGTCCTCCAGCTGCTCCTTCATAGGGGAAGCCATGGGCAGAGGGGCGTTACAGGTCCCAGAGGTCAGATGGAGAGGGGCAAATGGGAATGCCACTCCTCAGCTGTGAAAGCAGGGAGAGGGCCTAACCTCTATTGTTCTCTGGAATCAAAGGACAATGGGAACACTTGGTAATTAAGTGCTGGATTATAAGTTTGCTCAATGTCTGCCAGGAACTCTGAGGAGCCCAGCCCCCAGGGTCCCCAGGGAAAGGACTAAGATCAGAAGAGGCCATGGGAGTCAGAGACAAATGGTATGGCCTCTGCGCTCCAGAAGCCCCTACATAGTCCCCTGAGAGCCCCAGCCTGCCCACAAAGCAGTCACTCAAACACATGGCAGACAGGATTTCTGGTCCAAACTCCAGTGGAGAGAAAGGCTTTCTCTCTCTCTCTCTCTCTCTCTCTCTCTCTCTCACACACACACACACACACACACACACACACACACACCCCAGCAGCTCAGGGAGACTTCTAAAGGAATCTAGGAGCTTCCTATCCTGGTGTAGTTATTACACGCCTCACTTTTGACTCTGTTAAGTCCTCCAGAACCTGGGGTAGGTGGGTCAAGTTGGGCTCTGATTGCTTTATGCAACATTTACTTATCACACACCTGCTGGGTGCCAGGCAGGGTGGAGCCCACAGACCCAAGCCTAGAGAACTCTAGTGCAGTGTAGTGGGAGAGGCAAATAATCTTCATCGAAGCCACTTTTCCTATCCAATACTAACCAGGCCCGACCCTGCTTTGCTTCCGAGATCGGGCATGTTTAGGGTGGCATGGCTGTAGACGAAGGCACTTTTCAAGCAATATATATATAATTATAATGCTAGCATTTATATAGCATTTATATAGCAATTATTGTGCTCGAAATTTCTTCACGTGTGAAACGAGAACTATAGTATTTCCTATGATGATTAAGTGAGTTAGCCTTTGTAAAGCATGAAGTCCAGGCTGATTACAATAAGTGCTTAATACTTACATATTTATCACCCATCTCTTTATATTGGGCTCTGTCAAAGATCCTGGAGCTGGCTGTCTAATTACAAGCTCCATTCAAGGCAAACATTTTCAAAGATGGAGGGCTCGCTATGTTGCCCAGTCTGGCCTCAAATTCCTGACCTCAGATGATCCTCCTGCCTCAGCCACCCTATGTGCTCCATTTCACAGATAAGAAATATGACGAAGGCAAAGGCTGTTTTATAATATCGAAGGTCTTTAGTCCCAGAACTCGGGAGGCAGAGACAGGAGGATCTCTGTGAGTTCGATGCCGGCTTAATTAACTACATAGCAAGTCCCAGGCCAGCCGGGGCTACATAGTCACCTAACAAAAAATCTGGGGGTGGGGGAGGGCATCTTTGGACTGCAGAGCTTCTGCACGCTTAGATTGCTTGCGGCCCTCCGTGCCTCAGTCTCTCCACCTAGAGTGAAAGGCCACTTCCACCGCGCTGTTGTACACACTGGCGACAACGAAGGCCAAGTGGGCAGACCCAAGCCAAGCTCTGCACCAACAGAGGTCCATCCAGGGAGGCCCGGCCGCCACCGAGCAGGCTGGCTGGGCGCACATCGGTGCAGGGCAGCCTGCGGGGAACCCTCTCCCTCCTCCACCCCCCACCCGGCGCGTCCTCACGCCGCTCCTTGTCGCCCGCAGGTTATGTGGCGCACTGCCTGCCCCCCAGCGGCTACGATGGCGAGCAGAAGCCGGGGCTGGAG